AAAAAAGAAGAAATCAAGGAAGTCCGACACGAGGTACAAACAGTTGTAGTATTTACCATTACATCCTAGGAATTAAAAAAATAAATGCAGAAAAAACAATTGAGTGGTGATTGAGAAAGAAATTTTCATATTAAATACCACACACAGCATTAAACATTGAATCGTATTTCCAGTATATAAAAATATAAATATATATATTAGCAAAGTTATCAATACATTAATACAAAAATTTCTGGAGAAAAAACTAAGAACTTATGAAAAATTTAAAGATTCTTATTATACAATGTAGTAAATACTTAGAACTAGTAATCACAATTTAGCAATAGAAAAAGGAACATAGGCAACCAAAAATACCTAGGAGATGAACTGCACTTTGTTAACTGCTCTCAATAGAAAATCAACACGCCAACAAATTACATTTTCACAGGGAACATAGGATGATCTCCAGATATTTAATTTCTTGATGACTTCAGAAGATGTCATAATAAAAAGATAGGTACCGGGTAACTATATTCATAACACATTTAAATCAAGAAATGAAAATGCCATCTAATATGCAACACTTGTTTTATCCCATTACCGGTACCTACTTTTTTTTCTTTTTATAGTAGTAGTTATCACAATTAATCTTTATTGCTATTAACTGATAGAAACATTGTATTTCTTAGGATGCAATAAAGTTATTATTAAACCAATAAACATTATTATGGTTCATTTGATAATTTCATAATTTTTGCTTGTACCAGGTAGTCCTTTAGTGAGAAAAACAGTTCTACGCATTTGTAATTATATCAAACATGAAACTGTCTTCTACCTTACAGTGTAAAGTTCCCAGCCTTGGGCTACAAGTACATGAAGTAAATAGCATGCCTATTAAAACAATCACACACAGAACAGAAGCCTATCAGGTTGCGGTTGTCTTTACATCCAAGAGGTAACTGCATACAGAAATGTTGACATTGTGCTACTAAAAGCCTTATCTACTACAGGATAACATTGATGAAAGTATGAATCATAGAAAAGTGCTCAACTTTTTGACAATCTTAATTGACAAGACAAACTGAATTAATTTCAAATTAACTTCAGACTGAAGTGTGTAAAATATGATACTCGTACATTTTTTACATATGTAAATGTATTTCAGCATATGTAGCAGCAACTTATTTATAATTAACTATTTTAGTAATAGCCAACAGACATTTTTTCTGTACACAATAACACAATTTGTCGATAAAAAAACAATAATAATGTCAATTTTGTAATATTACTTGACATCAACATGTACCTTGTAAAGATGGTATATGATTTTTTTTCACCCTATGTAAAATTTTTAGATATTAAAACATCCTTGCCACAGAAAAACAAACTTCTTGAAGTTGTATTATTGGATATATTTTGTTTGTGGCTTTTGATATACCTGTATGAATAGTATGTGTCGTATATCAAATGCAATGATCCACATGGTCTGGGTTGTTTGCAGGATAGCTGAACATCACCATTTATGTAGATTCGGCTGTGTTGAATTTACACCATCTTAGGGTGCCTCAAGTTATGAGAAACTGACTGTTCTAAAGCAGCCTTCTCAACTAATAAAAATTCAATGTATGTTTGATGCACACCTGCCTCCTATGTTTTTTTCTAATTTTATACATAAGAGAACTCATAACATGCGTAGTCCTTGCATCAAAGTGAACATTTTTTACTTCCTACATGTGGATTAGTTGATTATAAACGTGTTTCAAAGCCATGCATGCCATGATCTCTGGTTTTCCAGACGAAAAATAAATCAAATTCTGACATAAATAACTCAATATCTTATTGTTATTATATTCATGTCCTTTACCTTTTAACCTTGATTTTGATAATATGACAAACCTTTTTTTTTTTTACAACCGTTTTGCAATTGTGTATATTCTAAATACTTGATTGAACGCAGCATTTACAATTTATTCACTGTAACAATGTTGGTGCTGGGTATGTCTCGTTGGTGCGCAATGTAGCCAAAATAACAAGGCATGCAGGCCACAGTCCATGTTAGTTATCAAATTTAAGATGTATAGTTTGGTTTATAGTAATATAGTTGGAACATGTCAGTGATGTATTCAGAAGTAGATGCTTAATTATGATTTGTTAACATTAAAATGGTTGACATTCAGTCATCTTGTATCTGATCATTAAACAAGTACTTGTCCATATTGAGAGATATTGCTCTGGAACATCATTGATTAAAACAAAATGGCCACTGACTGATCATTTTGAACACATTTTTATATCAATGATGATGCATAATGAATACATAAAATTAAAAAAAATATCACCCCCCCCCCACCGTATGTTGTTGCCATGGCAATTGTGGGCCAGACATTTTTTCCAGGTTTTACTACCTTACTACTGTGAAAGTGTGACCTGCCTGCCAAGTTTGAGCAAAAAAAAAAAAAAAAAAAAAAATCACAGAAGAATTAGTATGTAAAGACAGAAAACGACCTTTTAAAATATACAATGTACAATATAGAATGGTTTTTAGAAAGTTTTTAATTATATCCTGCAAGCTCAAAGAAGAAATTAATCTGAAAAACACTGACCTACACCAAACCGACCAGGGGTAGTTTAAGTGAGGATAAAAATCTGGACAGTTTTTTGAATCTCGATACTTAAAGTAGAACTGATTAATTCAATAAAAAATGGTGGTTCTATAAAAGGTAGAGCCTGTTAACAACACAGTCATCAAATTATTCCAATCATAGAAGCAAAATTTTAGTCTGTAATAAAGCCAGGATAGTTAGTTTGAAGCTTGTTCCAAATTGTTATCATGTGGAGACAATAATACTAACAATTTATTGATTCACCTAGACTGGATGATAGGTATTTCAAGGCTGAAATCTGAAATGCCGGTCGTAGTATACAACAACTTGAATAATAATTATTAAATGTATTAATGACATAACTTGTTATCAGAATCTGTGAAGGGCAATGAACTCGTACATAAAAACACTTATAAATTATTTTTACCATTCCAGGTTAAAAAACATTACAAAATGGTTTTAATTTATGACGAATTAGTGAAAATATCAAATAAATTACATGATTGGTCGGGATTGGTCTGACAGATTCTGAAATATGACTCTAGACAGATGGACGGAGACCGAATTATAAGTCCCCGTGTTCGGAGTTTGTCCGAACAGGGACTAAAAATCCAAATCCAATAAAATTAAAATCCAGTGAATTTAAAAACAGTAAAAATCCCTGTAACCCACTATAATTTAATCTAGTAAACATTTAATTATACAGTGTGCTATTAAACAATAAAAATGTGCAGCAGTGTTGGCTTTGAGGAAACCATACAATAGTTACATACTCCTACATGTACATGCCATGATTATTAAAATTAACTGGTTCAAGCAGATTTTTATTGCCTGAAATCAGAGCAACCTTGAACAGTATTCCACATTTACTTCAAAGTGCACATCTATCAAATAAGAATTTTATCTGAAAGTCGTAAAGATACAAACCAGAAGATCCCTTGTAATCCTCCTTAAT